CACTAATATGAATTATTAAAGAGCTTCTTCGAGCTTGTCTCATCGACTGACCAGCCACTGAGCCCTCCGGCGGGACACGAACCATGTTTTAGGGCAAACCAAACCAATCGGCGACACTGCATATGACTCACCAGTTTACCGGAGCACCTCATGTCCCGGTCCATGATGTCGGCCACCTCGGAAAGCCTGAAAGCTATTTGGTGTGTCGTGGAATTGCTTCTGACGATCCATAGTCTGGCTCTTTCTCTCCTCAGTCTCTTCATTCGAGCGCTTGGAAATCCTCCGCTTGTAACGGTGCTGTCAGGGAAGAGAAGAGTAAATTATATTGAATTACCCAAAGCTATGCTCGTGTGTCTCTGTAGCAATTGTAAAAATATAGCATTACTGCGGTGTCGTAACCATCGGGACTTTTTATTAGTTGATAGTATAGCCGATTGGTAGTGGATTTGTTCAAATTGAACTGTCTCTATGATTTTAGGTATGGCCACTTGCATATATGATCACAGAAAGGGTCATGCTACTCAGAATGCGTTGACTAATTGGCAAATTCAAAGTATATATTTTTTGAATGATCAATATGTATTATTATGCCATTGATTTCGTTTGAAAAATACAGTGGAAGATATTTGACGTTTGACGTCTACAGAAACGTTCTGCATCTTTTACCGAGGCCAATCTACAAATCCCTTTCACCCGCCTTCTTAAATGAAATGAAATGAAAGATACAATAATATGAATTTATTAATAGATCTTACGAAAAAATTATCAAATCTTAAAATTATATATTATGTAGTATTATATGCAAGTAGCCAGTATACACATGACCACGAAAGTTTGGAGTTAACTTTAATCACTTCGGGACGACAAAGTTACCCATCATTATGCCTCTGGCTGATTCAACCTTTTACCCATTAATATTTGCGTTTGATAAAGTCTTATGATTATCCGATGGTCGCTTCAGTAATCCACCCTCTAAACAAACTAAAGTTTCATCTTTCCGATAATTTTTAAATCCAGGTCGCACTCAAATTTGTTTCATTCCACTATCTTCGAGATTCAAGCCTGAATCGTGCTCGCCGCCATGTGGCTGCGCAGAGGGAGGGGTTGAATCAGAGCAGCGACCCATGTCGACCATATAATTAGCATAGATTTTCTTATTCCTAAAGTCCTACTAAAATGGAAATCATTTTAGGCTTACAATTATTTTATAGTAAATAATTAGACTACTGACAACGTTTAATCAGTAGTATAAACTTAATGTAAGGCGTAAATATAGCAAGATTGCCGAATTAGTTTAATGAAATACGGAAATAGTTTAATGAAGTTGCAACAAATAACTTTGCCTCCTACCCAAGCGAAAAAGAAGAGGCGTCAAGAAGAACAATCCCCACAGATAACATTACAGATTAAGGTAAATTATTATCTCACCCTTAAACCGGAAAGCACAGCGATTGGCAAGAAAGGGTTAATTGCATAACATTTTAGTGGAGATGATAATTATATTTGAGAGGTTACTAAACGAATTAAAACGAGGCATTTAAATGTAAATGATTCCGAAAATTTTGCGCGCAAACATCTCACAAGTAGATATGATATATAGAGGATGACTATGACATTCATAAGAGTGACTAAATTGTTCCGCATGCAGACAAAGGAGGTGCATTAGAAGTGGTGGAGCGAAGGGAAGAACGAGAAAAAACGTAATTAGTCTTAGAGATAAATCAATTTATCAGCTTTTGAAGCAAGTGACAACAATTAAAAACAAAAAAAACTCTTAAAAAAATGTTGAAACAAATCGACAAACGTACAATCAATTCCCCAATACGACCAATGGCCTACAATTTGTTAAAACCACTTAAAGAAAAAAATCACTGAGAGTGATAAGAAAAAAGGAGCGAAATAAGCCAAGAAGTGGGTTGACCTTGTTGTCGAAACTTGGTTTTGTTGTCAGGGCGCTATCTCGAACGCACCTAGTCCAAAGTCGTCTGCCATAGTAGTAGTCATGATTCTCAACATCTGACAGTGGACTTGAAACATTCTCGGAATGCTGGGAATCATGACAACTACTATGGCAGACGACTTCGGACTAGGTGCGTTCTACATAGTCGCCCTGAAAACAATGCCAAATTACGACAACGAGGTCAACCCATTTCTATAAATCGAAAGGAGACTGCGACCATAACAGAGGCCACAACATCTTGGTCTTCACATATTCTATGAAATAAGCTAAGTTCGCCTGCTCCCAATTAAATACAGGCAATGATGGACAATTTAATAAAGTGAAATTGACAAAAATGTTCTCATATGATCAGCGGAATCAGATTGGGGTATTTCAAAATGTTGGTGAGCCTCAATTTAGAGCAATGTAGACATACATATCAAAGGAGAATGCGCTTACGGCACTGCTAGAATGCTTGGAAGAAGATGCCGATATCTTGAAGACTGAGCGAATCCGAAAAGAGTATCCAACTGGATTGGTCGATCTAGCGAAAAGAACAACTTGTTTCGCGTTCAAGGTTTGCAACTATGACTGGATATTTGGTTTTTCTATGGACTTACCATTCTCTACTCGGTTGGCTGACGTCCGCCTGAAGAAAGTTGACGAGGCTTTCAAGTCGTCACCACAACTACCAACACCAATTATGTGATACTTGGATGGCTACTTCGCAATTTGATCGCATGAAACAGAAAAATTGGACGAATTCTTAATCTTTTTAAACGATAAATTAGCAATATAGTCAGGGAAGAATGGAGGCAGTTGTCATTTTGCTCAGAGAAGACGCTTGAGAAAAAGTTGTTCCTAAAGTAATCCTAACAGTACTAATCCTAAATTTCCGGTCTTATTAATAATTACAGATTAAAAAATAAAATATCCACAATATGATTAAGTCAACAAGGACCAAGAGAAAGAGTTCACAAGTGGTGGAGATCTCGATATGGTGATAATTAGGAAGCCCTTAAAAAAACGAAATAGAGTGAACATAACTCATATGTATGATTTTCTGGTAGTCATGACAACCCACTTAAAACGAACTATAAGTAATGTTATATGAGATATATTCACCCTATTTCGTTTAAGATGCCAAAGGACTGGTAGTAGAATTTTCCCACAATGATATGAGTAGAGCTGACGTTTCTATAAAATTTCACATAGCTTTGCTT